CAGTCCAGAGATTGCTTCATTCAAGTTTAAGACCTCAGGTCTATTTTCTACTTTTAGAACCCTAATTAACAGTGAACTTTTGCAATGCCTGAGGATCATCTTTGTCATATTTTCCCTCATATTTTCTACTCTTTACCTTCGCTAGAGATTTCCTTAACTTTATCTTCCTTAATTGAATATATTTGTCAGTGTATATACCATATAATTTCCACGGGCTCTCTTATTCTCTAACTGACCTTTTTCAGAACATCTTATTTTTATTTTCCACGTGAAATTCTTCAGAAAGTTGTACATTTGCTCCTCTAACAAGTTGTGTACATCACATGGTTGTCAATAATAATATGACTGTTTTCAATACTATAGATAAACGCTGTTACAAAATATTAGCATGGCCAAGTAACCTGAATTTAGTAAGTGTCAACCATGTATAAGCATAAACAGCCTAGAAAGAAAGTGACACCTGCTTAGTGATTTTACTTACATAAAATTAAAATGTAAAGTTATGGTTACACCAGGTAGTAAGAATGACACCACAGCTATGGTGGATGAGAGATAGGAGCTTTAGTGTACATTCAATGCTGTTATTTACGCTGATATAACAGTGCAGTGGAACATTTGGTGATAGACCCTCAAGGAAAGGCTTTCTGAAAAAGTTAAGCTTTGGAAAAAAAATTCTAAAGGAGAGCCATGCAACTAAGAAGTTAATTTTCAGGAAGAGTATATGACTGACTATTGAACTGGGCAGTAAAAAAACACAATGTTTTGTTTTCTTCCTTAGAAATATTATACAGTACTTTCTATAACAATAGTCTTCCTTTGTAGACATTAATATCTTTTCTTAAAAAATTACTCCACAGTTCTCAATCTCACCTCTATTCCATAAAAACAAAAAATAAAAGTCTTTTCAATACTATTCTAACACTTCAAAACAAAGGAATTATTCAAATCAAGCCTCTTCACTGAGGTTGTTTAAGAACTTAATCGTGCCTTTGTTACCTTTGAACAAACAGACTAAAGAGTAGGCCAAGGAGGGACATGACCTTGGTAGTAGTTACACTGCTCCCTGTACTCATTATTTGTTTAGCAGTACATACATGTTTTATGTACTTTTATATAGCACCAGAAAAAAAGAATAAATAGTATGCATTTTTAAACAGCTTCTTTTACAGAAACTTCTTTAAGTAAAGCAAACTAAAGAACTACTTTAAATTTATTCATTCCAGCTGTCCTTTTAAAGACCTTAAGGAGCAAAGATGGAACAAAAGCAAAAACAAAACAAAAAAATTTGCCTTTCTCTTATTTACATCTTTCAAGAAAAGTTTCAATGTGGCTAGATAGACTTAAAACATATTTCCTAGTAAAGCATTGAAATTAATATAATCAAATACTGCAAATTTCCTCTTTCTAAATTTAAAGATTATTACACATTAAGTGGAAAAGGCACAAATTCATTTCCTTTTTATTTGGCTTATGTTTCCCAGGACTTTTAATTGTCTAAAGAAACAGCACTTGCACAGTGTGCTTTGATTTTGGACCTGTAGCATTTCCTGTTCCTTCCCAAATATAGTACTATGCCTTTATTTGTACCAAACCACCCCCTCTGGTGAGTAGGACATTGGGCTCTGATGTCTCTTCTCCATTTTGAAGTTAGAACCATGCTTTTGAACAGTTAATACTGTACCCTGTTCAATCTGCTGCGAGCACACTCCCAGAATACTGATTCTACTACTTAGGACCATTTCCTAAGTCCCCCAAACAGACTGCCATTAAGGCCATTTCTCTCCCCAGAAGCTGACAGTTAATGACCATTGTCCTTCTAGCTAGCAAGGGAGCGGTTATTTCCTGGCAGTGTGTCTTTAGGTCAGCATAATTTTATCACTGGCTATGGATAAACAAATAGTATTTTAGTTTGTATATCTTAGATTAGAAATAGAGATGCTCTGAGGAGACACTATCCTTATTTTTTTGGCTTAGGTCTTTTATACTCAAACATCCTCCTTTCAGAGTTATCTGTTAGTCTTCTATTAAGAAAAAAACACCCTAACTAAATATGTTTCTTCCTTTTCTGGTTTGAAAAACACAAGAGAATGATTCTTTAGTGTTCAGTTCTTTTGAAGTCCTTTCAGGGTAAGAAAAGTCTTATTTTAACTAGAAATAACCAAATACTAGTTTATTACACCTGCAACAACTCTCACAAGAGCTGTACAAAAGAAAAATGAGGCTTCCACTTCTAAGTCACTAGAGCTTTTTAGAATTTTTTCTTACTGAGGCACCCAGACACATAATATTATATTGAGCCAAAAGGACCAATTCTCTTCATGGAGGAGAATTTCAATTCGTTGTTACTCATTAAATTCTTACAGCAATGAGCAATGACTTGCTTTCTTGTTTTGTTTCTCTTTGAATGGCAATGAAGTTGACTCTTTTCCAAGGCTGCTTCCCATCACCAGCATCCCTGCCCTTGACCTATGTAGCTGTTAATATGCTGCACACATATGAACTACAGTAGTTAACTGCAACTGAATTCAACCTCAACAACCAATGCAGTTAACCTTTCTATTTATTCCAAGTCAGTGAAATTGAGTTTTTCCCCTTTCTAAATATAATAGCAATATCTGGTACAAAAAATATAGGTATATTTTTTCTGGTTTTCAGAACTTTTTTCCCTAAGAGTTTAAGAAGCCATGAGTTCTCATGTTCTATTCGACAAAGACATGTCCATTCATGATAATTCCAAAAGGTGGGCTGCTATAACTACTTTACAAATATAGTAATTACCTCTTGTGCATTTGGCGCAGGTAATTACTGGAGGCCATATATCACCTTTATTTCAAAGAAAAATTAATTCCTTTGACTAAACACAACTGAAAGGTTATCTTTATATTTTCTAGAGTAAAATACTGGAAACTATACCAAAAGATGCTTTGTTATGATGATCTGTATTCCAAGGTATTCCTCCATACTCATCCTGTAACTGCCTAGTAACCTTCTACACTCCTTCAAAGACAGGAAGCTCCTGGAAGATGGGGATTATATCATAATGACTATTTTATCTGCAGGGCACATGGTTTGGCAGGTGGTACACAGTAAGTGTTTCTGTTGGTGTTAGCATTAAAATCAGTTCAAAAGTCCAATTCTTAATTAGCCACAATCTTAGACAAACTGGCACACCACGTACCCCAACATTTAAAGAACAAGTTTTCATCACACATTATCACAGTTCAAGCAGATATGACCAATTTCAAATACCTAATAATCTCAACCTAAACACTGAGTATCTTTAAGGGAGGCAGAAGAAACAATTTCAATTTGTGAGTTTTAAATTTTTGTTGTGATTCAGACTCTACTACTAACTAGTGATAAACTCTGACAAATCACTTTAACCATGTTGGATCTTGTGTCCTTAGAGATTGAAGTGTGGAACTGGAATAAATAAATGATCTCCAAGTACCCAAGCAGGGCCCAACTCTAACAGTCTGATTGGGTGTGGACCAATAAGGGTAATACTGCTGTAAATGCAGGTATAGCAGGACCTTGTCAACACTAGAGGGAGCTACACTCATGCCATCACAGGGGTGGTTAGGGAGATTTCAAGGCAAAGCATCTTTAAATGGAAAAATGACATAACAAAATGAGAGAAATTAAATATGAAGTGAGAGATCCATAATATTCACACAGCCACCTCACACACAGGTTCTCTGATGGCACCTCCCTCTTACAGATACCAAAGCACCTCCCATCAACACATCTCCTGGGTTTTATTTCTAATTCCAAAAGAATCAAGATGATTTGAATCATTCCTACAGATTTCTTTCCCCAGTCTATTTTCCTTCTTAATCAAGTAACAGCAACAAAAAAAGCAAAGTAATTAATTATACTATTGAAAAAGCCCCAAGGAAATGAGACAGAGGAAGAAACACATTCATATCACATACATTCAAAAAGAAGAGAGATAAAAGGAAAAGAAGGACTCAGTATAGCCTTAATGTGGGAGCTGCAGTGTCTGCCTAAGTGAATGCTGTCACTGCCCTGTTGGGCTTTGCAGCTGCTAAAGAGTGATGTCATTAAGTAGAGGCAATAGGGTCACATCAGGCATTGAACAAGACTATTAAGGGACAAGATAAGGGAACAGAGGATGGGGTAGGGAAGGAAGAAGAAAAGCACTTCCAAAGCTAAAGCTAATTTTGAAGTTATTATATGCATTCACATTCTCTCTGTCTCTCCCTTCCTCTCCCTCTCCCATTACCTCTCCCAGCTCCAAAAAAACACCCATGGCCTTGCAAATGTGTGACCTAAAGCCATTACAGAACAAGTAAAATGCAGAATCACACTTCTCCATTGGTATCAACTTATGTTTCTCTTTGCCCATAAACACAAGGGCATGTTAACCTGATAGAGAGGGCATAAATTGTGGATATTACAGAATGTGGTCTGTGGGAGAAAGATAAATGCAATCCCGAAGAACCCCTTTTATTTAAGTTTCATGGATTAATTTAACACAGAGAAAGCAAAGCCTCAACAGTCAGAACTGGATTGTCTACTTTTTAGGACATAAGCTACTCCTGAGTAAAAATAGATTATGAAGCAACTTTGGAACAGCATTTTGTGAAAGAGAAAACCTAATAGAACAAGACAAACAATTCCTTTTTCACTAAAAAAAAAAAAAAAAAAGCAAACTCAGACCTCCAAAGATAAAATACAGAGTAAAATGCGCCAGGTTAAAAATCAACTTTTCCTATAGATCCAAATAGTTGGATTCTTGTTTCTTAAATCATCATCAATTTCAAATACTTTAGAGGTACCACAGCCTTAGCAGACTCAAAAAAATTTCCTTTTTCTTTTAGGACATTAAAAATTTTTTAAATGGCCCTTTCGGTCTATGAGCCTCATGGGAAGGATAAGAAAAATATACTTTACTGTTAAAAGGAGAACGACTTGTTTTCCTCACTTACTTAGGACACGTGCCAATGGCTTTCCAATTCACTCTGTTTCATACTGACCTTTAAAATGTTTCTGCCATCAAATGATTCTCTTTCCTTGAAGATATATTTGCCATCCGCTGTGTAGAGATTGTACCTTCCTTCAGCTGTAAATATTGCAAAGAAAATGTCAGAAGAGAGGCTTGGACTATTTATCTACTTGTTTTCTCTTGGATTGCTTTTTTTCTTTTTTTACAGATTTTATTTATTTATTTTTAGAGAGAGGTAAAGGGAAGGAGAAAGAGAGGAAGAGAAACATCAGTGTGTGGTTGCCTCTCATGCACCCTCTACTGGGGACCTGGCCTGCAACCCAAGCATGTGCTGTGACTGGGAATTGAGCCGGTGACCCTTTGGTTTGCAGGCCGGTGCTCAACCCACTGAGCCATACTAGCCAAGGCTCTCTTGAATATCTATAGGTACAACTAGAAAAATCTCCAAGTACTATCTGCAAAGTGACATAATAGGAAGGGAAAAAACATCAGGGTATGAGTCAAGAGACCCAGTGTCTAGTCTCAGCTCTGTCATCAACTCATTCAATATATATTTATTCATTCAATATTGTTCAAGTACTCATTGTACATTGACTATGTAACTTAGCTGTATTTTTAGCCATATTATGTCTCTGCTATGCACCTCAGTTACAAAGTTACAGATTAAAAAAACAAGTTACAGGTTAAGACTAGGTGATTTCCAAAGGTTTCTTGCAGTCTAAAAACCCAAGATTTTATAGAGCTGCATGTATTTTGAAATATGTAAAAATACACAAAAGTTCACACATCAACTTGTGGAAAAATGCTGGCAACCATGCTTTGGGTTGTTTCAAGGACTCTCCCTAAATGAGAAGGCCCCTTTAGTTGTAATCAAAGGCATCCTAACAGACATTCTACACAGAAATGTAGCAAGTCTGTGTATGACCTTTGCCTCATCAAAGCTGCACTCGTAACTCCTTGAGTTAATTTAGCTTGCTTATCCCTAAAGATGTCCTTAAAATATAGCAATTAAAGAATATCAAAGGAAAGGGATCACAGGCAAGAAGACAAACAAACTTATTGTATGTTCCTTTCATGTAAAAATTCAACACAGAGAAGTATACAGGGTATAGAAAATTCAAAGCCTCCTCAATAATTTTAACAGCATATTTTCCAAAATATCAACCCTTTCTTGCCCACCAACACTCTCAAAAATATTTGTATTTCCACTTTTGAGTATGGTCTTTTACTGTATATAGGTGTGGAGACTACCAACTCAGAACTGAAAAAATATATTCAGAATGCTAACTCCATTTTCCTAATGAGAAGTATTCTCTTAATCAAAGATCCCAATTCCACTGATAGCTTACAACTTACAAAAGGTACCCTGTTAATAGGAAATGTGGAATTTTAAAGTAAATCATATCAAATAAATATCAATAAAAAGGCAGTAATTTTGATCTGAAGATTGAAATGTTTAATGACAGTTTCAAAATCTGTAAGTGGCATTAGTATTTAGGGAAATGATAACTAAAACTACAATGAGATACCACTTCACACCACAGAATGGCAATACTCAAAAAAGACAAATAATAGCAAGTATTGGCAAAGATGTAGAGAAATTAAAATCCTCATACACTGCTGGTGGGAAGGTAAAAAGGTGAAGCCACTTTGGAAAACAGTCTAGCAGGTTCTTTAAAAAGTTAAACGTAGAGTTATCACCTGACCCAACAATTTCACTCTTAAGTACAGACCCAAAAGAAATGGAAACACACGCCCACCCAAAACCTTGTGTGTAAATGTTCCAAGCAGCATCATTCTCAACAGCCAAAATGGGAAACAACATAAATGTTCATCAACTGATGGCTGGATAAGTACAATCAGTGTAGCCACACAATGGAATATTATTCAGCAACAAAAAAAGAATAAAGTATGATACATGTTATAACATAAATGAACCTTTCAAACATTATGCTAAGTGAAAGATCACATATTACATGACTGTATTTATATGAAATATCCAGAAAAAGCAAATTCATATAACAGAAAGTAGACTGGGGGAGCCTAGGACTGGAGGGATGGGGGGAATGGGAGTCACTGCCAAAAGGTATGGGGTTTCTTTCTGGGGTGATGAAAATGTTCTAATATTGATTGCGGTAATGGTTGCATAACTCTGAGTACATAAAAAATCACTGAATTATATTCTTTAGGTGGGCAAATTATATAGTATGTAAATTCTATCTCAAAGCTGTTGTATTTAAAATATCCATAAGTAGGTAGTGATCACTGAACAGTGAACACAGAACCTTTTTCTTATATGAAGCTCTAGTACTAACTGAATATAAATCTGGATCCACACAATTTAGAAGACACAGATTCCTTTATAATTCAACTCTTTTATGTCAAGAGATTAGTTAAAATGGGGAATGGGATGCCCTGGCTGGTGTAGCTCAGTGGATTGAGTACCAGCCTGCAAACCAAAAGGTTCTCAGTTCAATTCCCAGTCTGGGTACATTCTTGGGTTGCAGACCAGGTGTCCAGTTAGGGGTGTGAGAGAGGCAACCGATTGATGTTTCTCTCCCTCTCTTCTCCCTCCCTTCCCCACTCTTTAAAAATAAATAAAATCTTTAAAAAGTGTTTTTTAGCGGGGGGGTGGTACAGTCGTTGAGCTCTGAACTAAGATGTAAGGACCAGGACAGATGTGGAACATGCTGTCGGTAGTATTAAATGTCTAATAAAATACTGTCTGTACCTGCACTGTCCAAAATACTGTTCACAGCCATGAGCGATTATTTAAACTTATTTATTTCAGTATTAACAATTTACTATCATAGTATTCACTAACTTTAGACAGGCTGGATAGCAATGTTCTCTAAAGTGTTAAGTGAAAGAATTTAACGATTTCAGTTTAATTCCCTGCTGCACTGAAGTCCATTCTAGAAAGAGAAAATAACCATCAGCATACATCATATTAAAGGTCCAAATCTCAAAAGCAACTTGCATCTTCAGCTGGAACAACAAAGTGTCTGAAAAATACATCCTGAGTCTGCTGAAATGTAATCATTCTTGAACCAGTCTGCCTTTATAAGCTTAAATAAAATAAAATTAAAAGTTCACTTTCTGCCCTGGCAGGGTGGCTCGGTTGGTTGGGCATCACCCATACACCAAAAGGCTGCAGGTTTTATCTTCAACCAGGGTACATACTAGGGTTGTGGGTTCAATCCCTGGGTTGAGGCATGTAGGGAGGCACCCGATCAATCTGTCTCTCCCCCTACCCCCACTTCCTTTCTCTCTAAAATTAATAAACATATCGTCAGGTGAGGATTTTTTTAAAAAGTTCACTTTCTCAGTCTCACTAGCCACCTTCAAGTGCTAAATAACCATATGTGGATAGTGGTTATCATATGGGACATAATAGATACAAAATATTTCTACCATCACAGAAAGTTCTATTGGATGATACTATATAAAATATACCTTCTAAACTAATAAATTTGGAGTGTATTCTAGAGTTCTAAAACTTGGCCGCCTTCACATAACAATGTTAAAATGTACACCAGCCCTGGATGGTGTGGCTCAGTGGGTCAAGTGCCAGCCTGTGAACCAAAGCATCACCGGTTCAACTCTGTCAGGACACATGCCTGGGTTGTGGGTCAGGTCCCCAGTTGGGAATGCGTGAGAGGCAACCACACACTGATGTTTCTTTCCCTCTCTTTCCCCCTCCCTTCCCCTCTCTAAAAATAAATATAAATCTTTTTTTTAAGATTTTATTTATTTACTTTCAGAGAGGGAAGAGAGGGAGAGAGAGAGAGAGAGAGAGAGAGAGAGAGAGAGAGAGAGAGAGGGAGAGAAAGGGAGAGATATATCAATGTGCTGTTGCTGGGGGCCATGGCCTGCAACCCATGCATGTGCCCTGACTGGGAATCGAACCTGCGATGCTTTGATTCGCAGCCTGCACTCAGTCCACTGAGCTACACTAGCCAGGGCAAATAAATACAAATCTTTTTTAAAAATGTGTATCTCAGGGATCTATTTTCTAAAATTAAAATTGACTTTCCAGAACAAATACCATAAATTCCTTTAAATGGTCCCAACAAGCAGACTATATTATCATAAATAAATATTAAATATTCCAGAAATTTTTTCTGTAATTCCAAATATTCTTCTGGAATACTACTATCCAAATGAAAGAAATGTAATCTATCAGAACAATAACAAGAATAGAGCTTTAGATTCTATAAACTACCCAAACAAAAGTCTACAGGTTTTTAACTTGAGCCATGTGAACCTTTTTGATCTCTGCTCCCAAAGGTAAAATAGTAATTTATTTAGAAAAGTCTTAAAAAATATATAATCTAGTATCTGAAAATGTTAACAGAACTAAAAATTGGATAGCTGCACATCTCTTAGTCTTACAATGGCTTTAAACAAATGGGGTCAATTTTAAATGATTTTCAGTTGGGATCTTTGGTGTGTATCTGAGAGAAATAAAAGAATGTACTTTGACAAAAAGAACATAAAAACTGTCCTAAACTATAAATCTACAAATAGTTTATGGGTTTGAGTCCTGATGGAATCCTCTCTAAACCCTTACTTTCTAAAACCAAGGTCAGGGTCCCAACAAAGGAAATAAAACATAAATATGGGGCTTGTTCTCCCTGGCTTGCCATCTTCCCAGCCATGGCAGCCACCTGCCCCCCCAACCTGGCTGGCCCTGAAGCCCCAAAACCAAGCCCGTGTACAACAGAGAGAACATCCAGATCTGAAAAGCCACCCAGAAGAAAGGCATTGCCTCCTAGGACTGGCCTAGTGTTTACCCTGTTGTAGCAGCATTTCAACTCTCTGCAATACTATCCTGACCAGCATGGATCAGTTGGTTGGTTATCACCTTGCAAAGAGCAAAGTTGCCGGTTCCAAATTGATTGGGGCACATGTCTGGGTTACAGGCCGATCCCCTACTGGGGTGTGTGAGAGAAGCACTCTTTCTCCTCTTTCTCCCTCCCTTCTCCTCTCTCTAAAATCAAATCTTTTTTAAAAACCCTCTGCAATACCTCTTCCTGTTCAAAGGGGTTATCCCACAGAAAGGGGGGTGCCCATAGCAAAGGAGAGAAATCTAGAACTTTTAAAGAGCCCCAATTTTCTGCATTTGGCTCCTATAACAATCAAAATGCACTGTGAAGCTCTTAAAGATTTCTGCACTTGAGTGGCCAGCAGAACTAGACAGTAATAAGAAATGCCAGAAGCATTTTCCAATTGAAATTTACACAACTGATGATGTTTCATCAGAAACATCATCAGTTGTAATTTGAAATTTCAAAGCACATTAGTAACCTTAAGGGTTAAACTTTCCAGTTTGAATTTAGATGATCATGCAAAGAAACTTATTAAATTTGTAGGGGAGTGATACTGCAACACCACAGATGTTGTTACCATCAAAACAGGTGCCCTTTAAAGAGACAGAATTAAGATTATGTAATATATCTGCTACCAGTTTTATACCATGAGTCTTGGAAAACTGAGGAATGTGAGAAAAATAATAGTGAAGCAGACATGTAAGAGTATATATAGACAAACAGCTCCTCAAAAAAAAAAATCCCAGAAACACTTCTCCAAATTAATACCAAGATTCCTTTAATACCAATGCACAATGGCAATGGTTATTGACAAATTTTCTTATTTATATTCTGGGGCCAGTGATTTTCAACCAGTGTGCTGCAAGAAGTTTTAGCACATGCAATACCTGACTATGTAGTCAGGGCACTGACCTCTCTTCTCTTAAACTGTCAAAGAAAAAAATGACAACAGCCAACACAACAAGAGCTGTCCAGTGTGAATGAATCAAAATTATACTTATTTTTTGTCAGATTGGTAAAAATATATTTTTTGGTGTGCCACAGAATTTTAGTAACTAGTTTATCTATGTGTGCCATGAGATGAACAAGGTTGAGAACTGCTGCTCTGGGGCAATTAGACTAATTAGATCTCTATATGATTTCTTCTGGTTCTAAACATTTTTATTTTATTACTACCATAACTATTTTAAAATTTAAATATACATAAAAATATATAATACATATAGGTATTTTGTCTACTGCTACATTTTTTCCCTACACATAAGCACTTATTTGATGTTTCTGAATTATAATTTTGGTTATTTGGGAAGCTGGACCCAGAACCCAGTCCGACCATGGTTCATTGTTTTGTCTTCATAACTACCTACTCACTGCGTTTCTGCAGATGGCAATTCTGATTAGAAACAGGTCTTTGGGAGTGTTTTCTAACCTAAAAAGTCGGTTCCATCTGTCTATTTTGGGGTCCCTTTATATTGATTCAATTCTGTTCACTTTCTATTTTCTGGGGCTCATTTCTCCAAATGAAGCTTGCAGAGAAGTGGAAATGGAGATTAACTGTTACTCATTTCTCAATTCCCCAGTTACTGCTTCTACAGCTCAGGAAAGAGATGAGGTATAAATAAGGACCTTGAGTTTAAATGTAGCAAATGACAAAATGAGAACTGTCCTAAGAAACATATCATTCACTTCAGCTGTCAACTCAGTATTTTTAAGTATATCTGTAAGTCATTTCTTACCACTTCCAAAGTTGTCCACAAGTGATTAATTGAAAATCAAAATAAAGAAGTTATTGAGGCAAAAAAACCCAAACTAAATATGGGATGTTGGTGCTGGTAAATTTTAAACAATAGGTCTTTGAAAGAGAAGCTGCATATAACTTGAATTTGTGGCTCTTGATCAAAAAAACAGATGCTGAATGTGTAGAAAAGCTTTCACTTGGGGAGTGGGGATAGAACAAAAAGAAGATCCTTTTTGAAATGTAGATCATTATCCTTTTTGAAATGTAGGTATTTAAATTTTTTTTTAACTTTTTATTGTTGACACAATAACAGATGTCCCCATTCCACCCTCACCCTGCTTTGCCCACCTCCACCAGCCCCCACCCCTTCCCTCTGGCCCTCACCACACTGTTCTCAGTGTCTGCGGGTTAAGCATACACGTTCTTCAGCTAACCCCTTGACCTTCTTTCATCCAGGCCCCCACTCCCCTCTGACAGCTGTCAGTCTGCTCCATGTATCCATGCCTCTAAAATAAGGCATTTTTATATGAAGGCTCAGATTCCATAAGGGAAGAAAATTATTACTTTAACACAAGGTTTCTTGACCTTGGTGCTATTGACCTTTTGGACTGAATAATTTTTTGCTGTAGGGGTTTAACACTGTGTGTTATAGAGGGCTAAGCAGCGCCCCTGGCCTCTGCCCACTAGAAACCCATCTCTAGCCCCTGGGACAACCAAAAATGCCCCCAGAAAATCCTAAATATCTTCTGGGGGGTGAAATTGCCCCTAGTTAAGAACCACTGGTCTAACATTTTCTTTTACTAACTAATCTTCCTTCTTTTTACTTTTTAAACTAAGCCAACAACTATTACATAGGACATACTTATATTAAAATCATTAATTATTATCCCAAATTTACCTGGGCACCCTGTATTTTTATTTGCTAAATCTGTCAACTGCATATGTGACAGCAATAAGATTTGGTATGCCCTTCTCATACTAGATATGTCCCTGCACACTTCCACTGTGCTCATTAAAACAAGCTAACAGATAAAAAGAAAAAAAGATGATATAGCAGAAAGTCTTTGATAGCCCATTCTATTCAAAACTCCCGGGATGAGATCATTCAGCCTTACTAATCGCAGACTGTGCTATATCTGTATGGAGGACTTACCATTGGGGTCTTTCCTGAATAGAGTATTCATGACGGTAGCATGGAGTTTCACACTATTCCACTCTTTTACTATTAATCCGGATGCCTGAAAACGTTCCAGCACTCGATCAACTAATTCCTGTAGCCTGGAAACATTTAAGAAAGGAATATAGAAATCTTAGTAAACTCCTGAACCCCTGATTACTAATTCAACATTTATGAAGCATCTGCTCTGGGCCAATCACTGTACAAGGCCCTGCATAAGAAGAGGAGGAATAAAAGGCTACAGTCCCTTCCATCACACAGACTGCAGCCTTGTGAAGAAGACCAACATGGACACAAATAACTGCGAAACATGACAGTGAACGTTAAGGGAGTGTCAGCTGAACAGGGAGAGGGAGAGGTTTCCACAGGAGGTTTAAATGTGGTCTTGAAGAAACATGGAAGTTTATAATTTTTAAAAGAGAGCTCAATAAGCCAGGCTCAACAGAGTTGCCTAAAAGGAAGTGCTTTATTAGTTCATCCAGTCCAGAATCCAAAACTTCATGACTGATTCCCCTTATGGACTCACTTCAGGTGGCGGTAAGCACTACAGGTTCTGCAGTGGATGAGCTCTATCTCAATGATGGCCCCTCATTCGGTATCTCCACCACAAGCGATTCTTGCACCAGAAGTTTGCACTCTGTTCGGGTGTTTGCTTAACAGCTTGGAGAATTCCTTTTATATTTCTTGTAAGGCCAGTCTAGCGATAATGAATTTCTTCAGCTGTTTTTTTTTTTTTTTGGTCTGGAAAACTCTCTTCTATTCTTCAACTCTGAAGAACTGCTTTGCCAGTAGTGCCAACAGTAGGAGTCACTATCCCAGCAAGTCTGTGGCGGAGCAGATGTTGGTCCTAGGCCTCAGTAAGCAGCCATCTTCTGTGACCACCCACTCATTTGATGATAAAATTTAGCCTGTGGCTTTTACATATTGTGCCAAAATGTCCACCCTGAGCCTCAAACAGCTCTCACTGAATGTTGGCACTGACCGGAAGGTCACATCAAATGACAGACCAGTGTACATGGGGACAAGCAAAGGGAGTAACCTGCACCTTTCAACCTTTCCCTTGGCCTTTTTTGAGATTTGTGCTGCATGCTAATTGATTTCCCTGGCTCAAAATCATCTTTTAGTAAGTCACTAATGTGTTAACAAACAGTAGATTTCACAGTGTCTAGGTTTTACATTTTTAGATGTATTAGTAAACACCCTCGGTGTCAAACACCACCACTTTTCTTGGATTCCAGTAGCACTGAGACATCTATAGAGTTCACAAAATCTCCCATTGCTTCCTAGACCACGGCCCTGTGGCAAGCAGTGAGTGGCTTCTTCTTAAGCAGGGCTGGGTGGGTTTGTTTATGTGAGATGTGGGCCCATCCACCTTGTGTAGCCCACTGGCGGGAGCTTGCCTCCAGCAGTTGCTCTTGCTACAGCAGCTGAGTTGCTCAAGGCCTCTCTCCAAGTGAACAACAGCCTCTGGGACCCCTGTCCCCGGTTATCGCTCACTCCCTTAGATGTGGGCAAAATCACTCTTTTCTGTTTGCACTGTATCTGCTACAGCGGGAGGGAGTCATTCTTCCCTGGATTGACTCAGGAGTCCAGAACTATTCTTTTCCCCTTCATGGTTTTCAGGTTCCGAAGTTCCAAGTTAATCTTAAAATGTTAATTTATCTTAATTATTTTTATCAACTGCTGTCTGCTAACCAAAGAATATTTATAAATGAGTAAACCATAATTAATAATAATTAAATAAATACCCATGTCCCCTCCACCAAACTTTAGAAATAGAACACAGGATTGGAATTAAGGCACAAAAGGGGTGTCTAAAAATACAGCAACCAAGATAAATCATGGCTTAATGTGATATTAAAAAAAATCAAAATTAATGCAAAAAAATCCACATTGAACACAATATCAAAATTCTGAATGAAGATGGGATCAGAAATATAAGCTTCTTTGCCTTGGACTGCAGCACAGCTTGGCATGGGATAGAACATTACAATAAACCAGTTCCTCGGGATGCTCTCTGCCCTGGAGATCCCAGTGGCAACCTGCTGTCTGTCCTAGCATCTACTGGGGCAGCCTCATGACCCCAGCACTCTTCAATACGCACATTTTCTCATCAGGCCCTCCCCACTTAGCAACTTGACAACAACCACCTCTGCACTTTCTGTTCCCTGGGCCACAATGGCCATCCCCTCCCTCCCCCCACCTATGCAAATTGTACCATCCTTCCAAGCCCAAATTTAAATCCTACTTTCCCATTAAGCCTCTATAACTACCCTAACAGCTCTACTCTCCCCTATCCGTGAGCAGTGATTTTGTTCTTCTCTGAAATGCTGCCCCTGCTTACTTAGGTGTTCTCTACTTAGGATTCTCAGAAATGGTCCCTTAATATTTCAAGTTTGTCTTGTTCTCCTACTAGATTATATGTTCCTTAAGAGCAAGTTATACTTGTCTCATATCTTCCAAAGCATAATTATACTTGGCTTGCAATGACAGTTGACTATGATTGGTTAACTGATGAATTTGATTATCAAAAAGTGAGAACTGAATGCAAAAAAAGTAAAGCAAAATAAAAATAATGATATAAAATAAACATGGTCTTGAAGGATCATTACAGATTTGTAGATAATAACAGGAAAGGAAGGACTTGACTTCAAGCAATAGAAATAACATGTGCAAGGATGGCATGGCATTCAAGATCACAGTTTATTTGGAAAACTGCCAATTATTTAAAATAGCTGTAACAGAGTGAGAGAAAAGGGTCAATGGAGATGAGCTGAATATAAGCAGTTTGGAAAAGCCACAGAAATTTTTTAAAAGGGGGCATGTGATCAGATGTCCATTTTTGAAAGCCGACTCTGGCAGGGTAGTAAATGTTGTAGGAGGGGAAGAGACCAGAGGTACAGAAGTCAGCTAGGCAGTACTATAACAGTACAAATAACAAACAATGTGTCAGGCAATATTCTAAGCACCTTATGTATGTTAAATCATTTAAACCTCCTAAAACTTATCTCTATTTTACCTGTGAGGAAATTGAGACACAGAGAAGTTTTGAAACTTGACTAAAGTCACATGACTAGTAGGAGATCCAAAATTAGAACTCATTCACTCTGGCTCAGAGTACATGCTTTAAGGAAGTGCTATTGCCTTGGCTGGTGTGGTTCAGTGGACTGAGCGCTGATCTGTGGACCAAAAGGATGCCAGTTTGATTCCTAGTGAGGGCACATGCCTGGGTTGTGGGCCAGGTCCCCAGTTGGGGGCGTGAGAGGCAACCAATCGCTATTTCTCTCACATATCATGTTTCTCTCCCTCTCTTTCTCCTCCTTTCCCCTCTCTCTAAAAATAAATAAATAAAATCTTTTTTTAAAAAGGTGGAGGCAGAATGAAGATCTAAACTATGGCAGGAGCAATGAAAACTGATAAAAGGGAATGGATTCAAAAGAGCAATGTGAGAGAGAAGTGTCCTCAGACATGGCAGTGCTAAAGCAGAGGGAGCAGTTGAGAATGACTCGTCAAGAGGCTGCCTTAAATAACAAGGTGGGACACTGACCAAGGCAAGGAGTTGTGCAGAAGCAATTGTTATTGTTATGTTGTGTTGTTGGGGCGGGGGGGGGGGAGGGTTGTTAATACTTTGTCTGCTTTTGAATATGTGTCACAGGGTATCAAGTAGGACACGTCTGAGAGAGAGATGGAAATCAAATCTGAAGCTCAAGAAAAAAGCTGGGCAAAAGGTACAGATTTGAGAGTTAACAGTGCAAAAACAGTAGTTAAAAGCATGGGACAGATGCAGTCATGGGGGGGAGGGGATTCAGAGCAAGCCAAGAAGAGAGCTAAGGACAAGGCCCTATGGGATACTCCTATGTAAGAGGCAGGGAAGGAACCAGCAAAGACAATTGATAAGGATAAGGAACAAGAAAAGGAAGACTTCAGAAAGGCTGAAAGGAGAATGACAAAAAGAAAAAAGGAAAAATCAGTATAGTACAATTATATAGAAAAGTAAAGTAAGAAAAGGAACATGGGGCTTGCATAGGGCTCTTGGGCCCTTGTAAGAAAGGACTTTGGGTTTTACTCTGAGTGAGATGAGGAGGATTTTCAGCAGAAGAATGACAAGGTCTAACTGACATTTTAAAGGGAAATCTCTGGCTGCCATGTGGAGGTCAGGACAGAAACAGGAAAGCAGTTAGGGCTGGTCACAATAATCCAGAGGGCCGGGTGGCAGCAGTGGAGGTGGTGAGAAGTGGTAGCTTTCCTGAGATACTAGAGTGAAGACTTAAAGGTGATTCTAAAAGAATTTTGTCTTCAGGAACTGAAAGACTTAATATAAACTATACAACATATACAAGGATTTGTGAGAAACTGTGTAGAGAGGGAAGAGCAGTGATGAAATGGAAAGGGAGGCTGAAGCCATGTTGTGAAGGCTCCTGTGGGCCAGGCAGGGTGGGAATCTTACTTGGTGGGCTGCACAGAACCACGGAGCGTTTGCAGGAAGCAAGATACAAAGGGAAAAAGTAAAGGCATGGAAGCCCATGAAGGGAGATGTTGTGCTTCCCTACATAATTATCTTTTTTTTGATTACCAAAATAATACATGTTCATTATAGGGGGAAAAAAGGAAAATGCAGGAAAACAAAAAGAAAAATAAAATCTCACCATCCACGGATAAACACTTAACTTTTTGTTATATAATTAAAGTCCTTTTCTGTAGGTACATATCAATTTTTAAAAGGCAAAACATTTTTCTATAACCTGCTTATTCCACTTAATATTTTTCCATGTCATAAAATATTTTTCTAAAATATCATTTTAGATCTTTTCTTTAAAAATCCTCACCCAAGGACATGTTTATTGATTTCAGAGCGAGATGGGGGAGGGGTGGGAAGGAGAGAGAGAGAAAGGGAAACAATGATTGGTTACCCCTCATATGCGCCTCAACCAGGGATCGAACCTGCATTCTCTTGGTGTACAGGATGATGCTCCAACCAACTGAGCCACCTGGCCAGGGTCATTTTAGATACGTTTTAAAGGAGTTTAAACCAGCAATTAGAAGGACTAACCAATAAAATATTGATAAGAATGGAGAAAGGACTGATTCATGAAAATGACTT